CGCCTATCAAATTAAAGTTAAAGCATGCCAGAAGATCCCCGTAGTACGAAAATCTTATCGGTAACATGAGAAAAAAGACTTACAGTATCCGAATATAATTCCCTTCTCAAAAGATTTAAAAAATATTTGCTTCATTATATAAATGAATAAATGAATAAATGAATTTGGGATTTCATTCATCATTTATGAGAAATAGTAATCTACTTGCTTCCTTAGTATAAATATTATGTGATGAAAATAACAACATCCTTGGGTGATGAATTATGAATATAAATTAATACAAATACGGCTTGGCTTATCAGAAGAACTTGAAATAATTCGCCATTTGTTCGATCACGTTACACATTTTTCTTGACTCGTTCCTAACTCATGTCAGGGGCCTTCAATTTTATAATTGTATAGTAATAATTCTGTTTAACTATATGTAAAAAAAGTAACAGTAATCACAAAAGCAATGCACCAATTTAATATAAATAAAGTAAGAATGTATTGCATTAAATATAGTGATTGCTATGTACATACATATTTGAAAATTTCTTTATAAACAAATGTTTTTTCCTTTCAATCTTTACTTTTTTCAACTCGTTTTCTTTTGCCGCATAATCGACTTTGGTTATTTATTTCGTCTATTCGTTTAAAACATTTCTTTGCTCATTGATAATTAAAATATAAAAAATATATGGTATTTAAATAGTTTTTAAAAAAAATAAAAAAAAAGAATTTTTACTAAATTATCATCTAGTTTCTCAACAAAAATATGTAAGTAATTGCTATAAATTTCAACTAGAATGAATAGAGAATGGTTGCTAAACATTGTTCCTTAAATTTTTTTTAAAAAAATTTAGCTATTTACTACAATGCAACAAGGCACGTTCTACTACCCTTCTGAGGAAGTTTCAACACAATATGATCAATACTATCAATTTGAAAAATATTCTCAACTTCAAGATTCACATTTGACACGTTATGGTCAACAGATCGAGACATCTCCTTCGCATTCACCTTTATGCTCTTTATGCACTTATTGTCATGCACCACAACAATTTGAAATGTCCACTCAAGCTCCTGTTTCTTTAAGATCGTCTCAATTATTTGTACCAACAAATTTATCAAATTTATCAAATTCATCACAATATGACTATCAAATGTTAAATTACGCAAATAATCAATTTACAAATCAAAATATGCACTCTCTCAAGCGTTTTAATTCTTCGCTATTTATAAAGAAATCTGATGGAACGACAACGAATATATTGAATGATGATGATTCTTTAGGTGTTGATGATAATTTATCATCTGGAACTCAATCGTCTATTTCCCGATACTTTGACCATGGGTTGTTTTCACTGCTACAATCATATAGGCATCATATGGCATTAGGTTTTCCACCGGCTGACACAATTGTAGCAAAGACACGAAAGTATGTATGTAATTATCCGAAATGTGGGAAAAGTTTTTCAACAAGGTTGGTATTTTATTAATAAAATCTTGTTTTTATTTATTTAATTTTTTTGATATTTACTTATTTCTTACAATACATTTTCAACATAAATAATAATAATAATAATTCATATAGTGGTCATTTAGCACGCCATAATAAAATCCATACAGGAGAAAAGAATTTTTCTTGCAAAATGCCAGGTTGTCCATCGAAGTTTTCGCGACATGATAACATGATGCAGCACTATAGAACACATCTCTCAAAGAGTCGAAGGTCAGCGAAATCCCACCGAATATCGCGTGATATAATTCCATCATGAATAAATATTTTAAATATATTTTTTTTCAATAAGCAATGTATTGATGTATCTAGATTTCTACATTATAAGTTAAAGGGGTGATTTTATCGTTTCAAACAATTTGATATAGTTTATGCAATATAAATTTCGCTCAAGATTCTGTTGTTTTTATTTATTTAATAAAAATATTTAAAATTAAGAATATAATTCATTATCTTCGGGATATTAGTTGTGTACACAAA